ACACAGTCCAGTATCATATAATCTGTTCAGCACACAAAGTCGCTAACAGTAGCAAAACTCACAGTAATTCACGCTGAGCAATACACGATACATCTACAACCAGTATCCAATGATCAGCATCTAACAATCAGAGAGCTAACAGTCATTCTGGCTCCATCTTATGGCTGCTTGAGGTAACAGCAACCAATCACATTTACAGCAGTACTTAAAGATACAGCACTACCATCATTTTTTATATATTGCCAACCCAACTGTTAGATTACATTCCTAACAGGGGGCAGGATAGGTCTTCCTACAGGTATAGGTCCCGGTTTCAGCCCCAACACAAGCAGCCCTTTCGAGGTATGAGCAGATGCCCTTTCCACAGAAACAAATAAGTGGGCTTCGACAGCCCCCATTAGTGGCTGGTTGGCGTTGTTTGCCAACCGGTATGAGAGCATTACATCGGATCTCTGGGTCCTGAATACGGTTAGATTTGGTCTACGGTTGGAATTCCTTTCCGTCCCCCCCGAATTCATTTTGAACCTTCACGTCTTCCAAGTGTGATGTTAAGAGAGAGCTCATGCGTCAGCCGAGGCACCGAGTGGAGATCCAGGCGATTGAGTTGGTCCCATAGGAAGAACGGGGCAGGGGGTTCACCTCGAACCTCTTTGTGGTTCCAAAGTCTTCAGGGGGATGGAGAGCGATTCTAGACCTTAAAAGATTAAACCACTATCTAGTGTATAAAAGGTTTAAGATGGCATTCTTTCGTTCCATTCTGGAAGGTGTCAGGGAAGGTGATTTTTTGGCCTCCATTGATTTGACGGAGGCCTATCTGCATATCCTAATTCTCCCACAACACAGGAAGTTCCTTAGGTTTTCCTACACTAGTGCTCACTACCAGTATAGGGCTCTTCCCTCTGGGCTAGCGTCGGCTTCCAGGACTTTTAAGAAGTGGCTCATCTCAGGGCTGTCCCTATCAGACCACTGCTACCTAGATGACATCCTCGTCCAGGCAGAGTCGCCAGAGCAATCTCCAGGATCTTAGCCTAACGGTGGAGACCATGCAGAGGTATGGGTTCACTGTTAATTTTCAGAAAAGTCACCCGAGGCCTTCTTCCAGATTGTTACATCTGGGCGTGGTCATAGACACTGCCACGGGAATGGTTTTCCTGTTCCAGGACCGCAGGACTAGTCTGATAAAACTAGTTCGACAGGTGCAGAGGGAGAAGCATGTGCCCATTGTCACCTTGTCTCAGTTGCTAGGAAAGATCATATCTTGTATAGATCTTTTCCCTTGGGTGAGGCTTCATGCTAAGACCCTCCAGTGGTTCTTGCTCCCATACCAAAGGAGAAAGCCTAGTGCCTCCCCCTTTCAAGTTCGGGTTCCTCCCCAAGTGCGGCTATCCCTGAGGTGGTGGACTTCATCAGCCTTATCTAAAGGGTGCATGTTCCGGGAGCCGAAAAGGCTCACGCTGACCACAGATGCAAGGCTTTATGGCTGAGGAGGTGTTGCTGGGGACCCATCTGGCCCAAGGTTGCTGGTCTCCCTCAGATCTTACACATAACATTAATTGGCTGGAATTGTGGACTGCTCATCTGGCCCTTCAACACTTTCAGGCACTTGTAGCACACAGCCACGTCCTGCTGCTGACAGTCAACATGGCCACAAAGGGACATGTTAACATGCAGGAAGGGATGCATTCTAAGGTCCTCTGGGAGGAGTCTCAGAGGCTGGGCTGTTGGGTGGAGAAAGACCTGCTGTCCATCAAGGTGGAACACATCTCTGGAGAAGCGAACCACCAGGTGAACTGGCTCATCAGGACCATAGTGGACTAGATGGAGTGGCAACTGGAACCAGAGCTGTTCGAGGAGATTTGCAGGAAATTTGGACGGCCAGAGGTGGACCTCTTCACATCTCCAGAAAACACCCAGCTTCCCAGGTTTTTCACGTGGTTCCCAACTCTGGGAGCGGAGGGGAGCGGTGCCTTGTGCAGTGTGGCCCCGGGGGTTGCTTTATACGTTCCCTCCTCTTCCCGTAATACCAGGGGTACTGTGGAAGATAGTGGCGAAAGGGGAAGAAGTCATCATGGTTACCCCATATTGGCCACGCAGGCCTTGGTTTGCAGATCTTGTAGATCTGTCTACTGCCAAACCCTGGAGAATCCTGCAAGAGAGGATCTCCTTTCGCCAGTGGTTTCTGGTCTATTTGGAGCCTCAGCGGCTTTAGCTGACCGCCTGGTGTTTGAAAGGGAGATCTTGAGGGCGGGGGCGAAGCTGTGACGAGACGACGTGCGATCTCAAAGCTCTGAGATCGCAGTTGACACTTTTATTACTGAGGGGGTCCCATCTTCATAGCATATAATCACATGTATACTATTACATAGTCAATATCATGTTGTATTATTAAGTAATTACATCAATTCATCTTGCCATCAACTACCAAAGGGGGGAAAAAAACCAGTTGCTGAATCTTCTGCTCTCCATACACCATATTTATACCTTATCAATACNTTCTTGTTTTAGTTTGGTAGTTCTTATTTTTTCCATTTGTTGGTGTTGCCTGCCTAGACCAGTTGGCTTACTTGGCTTCCAAGTGTTTTCTACCTTTGTTGCTGTTTTGGTGTGTGGATCAGCTCATGTGACTGTTTTTGAGGCACCCAGGCGTTGTGGGAGCACCGCTGGCTGTGCTGGCTGTGGGGGTCGTTGCGGCTTTGTTTGTCCCGCTGTTGTGCCGCTGGATCAACAAGGACGGCAGCAGGCTCCCTGCGATTGCTGCTGGCTATCAGCAGCAAGGGCAAGCTGGCGGCGGTGCTGCGGGTGCCGGGATGTGTTGGAAAGAGCGTTGGCACCTCCATATGGCAGTGGGTGAGCTCGGAGAACTGGAGGCTCTATCGGCGCGGGCTGAGGGAGCAGCGGCACTGTGCAGCTTTGCGGGTTTCTCGGGGCCATTTTTGCTTGCCGGGCTGTTCGTCAGATGTGAGCTGCCTTCCACATG